ATTTATTTATATAATTAATTTGATATTTATTTGTATATTTATATATATATATATTTATATATTTATTTGTATATTCATTTATATATAAATATATGTATATATTTATTACATATTTATTTATATATTTAATTTTATATACATATTTGTTTACATATTTATATATTTATTTATTTATATATATAAATACTGTATTATTCTTTTATATATACTGTAATTATATATATATTTATTTATATATTTGTATATTTATTTGTATACGGTATTAATTTATATATATATATTTATATATTTATTTGTATATGTATTTATATATATTTATATGTTTATATATTTATTTATATAATTATTTAAAAAAAATTTTATATATTGTTTGTATATTTATTTGTATATTTTTTTTTTGTCTTTTTTTGTCTTTCGTGGGTGCATCCCACCTTTATTTCAACCATCATATTTTGAACAATTTGTTTTCAAAGAGTTATGTCAATATAATTTTTCCTACCAATATAATTTTTCCACAATGTATTGCGAAGTACGCAATAAATAATCCTAAGTAACATGAGGGTAATTTAGTATGGAGATACAACTCCACAGGTAATAAATACAGTTAATAATATTTAAGATAAACATTATTCCCTATCGGATCCGAGCCCAAGACCTTCCAATTACTGTTCGAATACGATAAGCATTCACATAATTAAAATATATATCTAAACATACTCAAACTCTCTTTATGTAAAGAAGTATACAAATAGATATTAAAATATATATATATCTATGATACAGTAAATGAACGAATTAGTGTTTGGTAGAGAGGCTATAAACCCAGAGGCATAGAAGCCTCCCTTTTCACCAAGACATGTTATTTTGAAATGATAATTGTAGAATAATGAAACAGAATGAAACAGAGTAGGGAGATGCTATAATTTTAATACTTACCTCTCTTTGGCTCCTGTGTGATGACGTCATTATTAATCCATTGGAAAAAATAAACACTACCCTGGCCTACTACTACGCCTGTGCATGTCACGACTGTTCTGTGCTGCAGAACTCACTCTGATTAGAGTGACAATTTATACATAATTTCAACTTGAAACTACTACTACTTAATTGCAAGACCTCTCATGTGCATCAGGCCTAATCAGTAATTTGTTGTCTCATCGAAGTGTGACGCATCATTGTAAAAAATGAATGTGGTATAAAAAGGTAGGCTTTTCTACTGTGGATTGTCAACTTGTTGGGGCGAAAAGGGAAGAAGCTCGGGAGCCTAGGCCTAGCAGCTAGCCTATTATGGTGTACTTAAACCCATTAAAGAGTAAATTTTAATATTAGGATGTATTTTATGTCTATCGATTATTAGTATTGATCCCTGTCTATGAATATCAATGAACATCTACCGAATACGCCCCTCTGAACCTACCGAATCAAGTTGAACAAATAAATTGGAAACCTTCGTCGTTGTTGTAACACCTTAGTCTGGTATTTTTTTTAAAGAGGGCGACATTGATTGATAATACAGAGTATAATTATAGGCCCCTAATATATGATACTAGCCTACACTGTTTCCATTTTTTATCTTTTCTTGATTTTAATAAATTATTTTTATTCTATCATCTGTGGTGTATCTACCCAAAAAGCTTCCCCTGCTCATCCCTCATTCGACTTGATTTGATTTTGATTTGAATTTATTTAGCCAGCAGAGTAAAATACAAAAATAAGGAAGACAAGACAAGGTCAATACAATTATTGAATACTCTGAAAGCAAAGAATAGCCCAAAAATTTTTAAAAGAAACGTATTTCCATTGGGACCTGCGAACGAAACATTCAAGTGCAAAAAGGTACAGGAAAGGGATCAACACAAAGCTAAACAGGGATTATATTTACAATTTTAAAAGTTAACATTAGTTCAACCTGCCCTCGATAAACTAACGTTACGTTATCTCACTATATTAATTGGATTAACACATTATCAAGGATTGAGTGTTTAACACTGGTGTCCTTGGATTCAATTATAGGTAAACGGATAAGTTGCCTTTTTTATGAGGTTTTAATTATTCTTTACCACTGAAAGTGCGGTATTCTAACGTTAGTTTAAGGAGGGCTGGTCAGCCTAATGGACAATTTTAAAAAGATCAACAATTTTAAAGAAAAAAACCAATTTGACCGATTAAAACTCTTTAAAACAGACTTACTGAACTACTATACATTCCAGAGGTCATCTTTGAATAAATGAGTTCAATGAAGTGGAGAGCTTTATTTGTGTTGGTAATCTGATCCATTCTTCAATTCCTGCGAAATAAAAAGTTTTGTCAGAACCTCCCTTTTTAATAGAGACCCTAAAGTTTACTGAACTGCTACGTGTAAAATTGTGATGAAGATTGTTTATGAGTTTAAATTTATGAGTTAAATATTAACAAGGATATTAATTAATATCAACTATAAAAAAATGTCTAAAGAAAAGAAAATTTCCCTCAAGACAAATAGTTAAAATTTACTTCATACAACCTTATTTAGGCACTCCCTCACTGAATAATCAAACCACCCCCCAC